GGGGACTGCACGCAGACCGGCTCGGATGCAGTCCCAGGCCAAGCTACACTCATCAGCCTTCCAGCGGAACCGCGACATCTCCCGCTCACCCCAATACCCCACCTCCTCATCCATCGCTCCATGCCGCACGAGCTCCGCCTCCACCTCCTTCTCCTCCTCCTCCTCCTTCTCCTCCTCCTTGCCTCCGTCATGCTCGCATCCCCTGTGCGACTCCTGGTGTCCGCAGCAATCATGGGGGTGACAACCTTGCTTTTCCTTGCCTCCTGCTTCTCTCTTCCTCCCGCATCGCCACTTTGGGGTGTCGAGGCCCTCGGGAACGCCTGCTCTCCTCCCCTCCCGCACCCGAGGGGGCATTTCTACTCCCACCTTCACGCCTTCCGCCGACCCGAAGGAGAAGGCGAAGGAGGAGGGGGGGGAGGGGGAGGAGAAGGAGGAGGGGAGACTCGTGCTGGAGTCGGACCCAGTCTGCCATGGAGCAATGGCTGAGGAGTCGCCGTCCTGGAGGGACCGGGAGATGTCTCGTTTGATCTGGAAGGCAACTGATTGTATCCTCTCCCTCTCTGCCTCTGAGCTGATCTGCATGCAGACCTCAAGGCAGGAAGACAGGAGGGAGGAGGACACCAGAGTCTCCTTCTCCCGTTGCTCACCTGGATTCGCCTCCTCCTCGCCTTCTCCTCCTCCCTGCTCAATGGTTGGATCGCAATAAACCTCCTCGAGCTCGTTGCCTTCCGCTTGAACAAGGTCTGCATCGGACGCGTCCCTGCTCGCCCTCAGAACAGGCTCAAACGACAAGCAGCACCGGTACCTTGCTTGACCGGGATCAGGACCCTGGGCTTCAGCCGGACCCTCCGTGAAAGGGCGATCAGGTCCTTGTCCTGCAGGAGAAGGTGAGCAACAAGACAGCAGGAGGTCATCTGGGCTACCGGAACCTTGCCGAGAGAGGTGCTTGCTCTGAATTTCCACCGCTCACAGTTGGAGCTCCTTGACTTGGGGATGAACCAGGTCCTCTGCCTCAGAGTCTTGATGTGGAGCCAACGGAACCTGGGCATGCATGCGTCATACGTACGGCAAGGGGCAGGGTGAGAAGGAAGAGGAGAGAAGACAGGAGTAACAAGAAGAAGGACAAGGCAGGAAGAGAGGGGCGACCTGCGAGATTTTTCCCTTATCTCAAGGGTCGTGCCAGTCAGGACAATCTCGGTGTTCATGGTCTTGCAAACGACTCCAAGTTTCATCCAGAAGCTGTACCAGTCGAACTTCTTCTCCTTGCTCCCCTCAAGCTTAAGCTTCTTCACCCTCTTACTCGCGGACTTTTCTGACCGAGTCTCACTGGAGGCTGACAGGCTGTCCGTCGACCACGTTGCCTCGGGCATTACAGATCGTTTGACGAGGTCAAACTTGGGGAGGGTTGCGATGGGCCGGATCTCCTCGCTCTCGAAGCTGGTAGCTGGCTTGATAGCGGCATGCCCTGACCCTTGATCGCTTCGCTCTTGAGGACTCGCGATGCCCATGACCTCGTCGGGTTCGCTTGAACAGTTTGAGATAGACGAGCTCTCGAGCTGCGATGATCTCAGCGACGCCCCGAACCGCGCAAATGCTGAGATGCCATGCTTGGCTGGAGAGCGCTTCACAGCCCAGGGAGCCATGAGGAGAAACGAGTTGAGGAGAGGACCTTGTCCGATAACAATCAAAGCCTAGATACTTCAGCTTGAGCAAGGTCGATGATCAGTTCTCGAGCAGGGAGGAAGTAGCACGAGGCACCGGTATCATATCCTTCATCTCCTTCAGCATCGCTCCTCCCTTACCTCCCGCCATCCTCCTCCCTCGACCTTACTCCTGCCGTTCCCCCCATCACTTTCGGCCGTTGACCTTTTTTACTTTGTTGACTCCTCAAACCATCACTGAGAGCTCCCAGAGTGGCAAGCGGACGCAGCCAGTGCCACCCGGCGTCACGGAAGGTTCGGCCCGGCCCGGCCGGCGCCGCTGCCAGGCTTAGCCGAGCGGATTCTGACCTTTAGGCAAGCTTACATGGTTGCCCATGCCCGGGCTCACTTCGAGTGAAAGACCAGTGCGAGGACATTCATGGCGGGGGCTGGCACGGGCCGGGCGACAGTGACGTTGCCAAGTTGGATCATGAGGGGTACGGTCACAATGTATATAGTTCAATATACTGCTAGTGAATCAGTTGAGATGACTTGCTGCTAACTTGATGATCGCTGCGATGAGCCCCACTGACAGGGCAATAGCGAGGAAGACATATACCTGGCACCTGACCAACATCGTTACACACCCCAGCACGAGCCCCTACGATCACACTGACCCGCACACCCCCTGCCGCGTCCTCGTGCGCCTCCGTGTGCGGATGGATTGTGCCCTGAGTTGCTGGGAGGAAGACGTATGAGCGCCCACAGGCGCAAGCATGCTGGTTGAGGCACCTGCAGCGCTCGGAGAACTTCTTGAGTGTAGAGAAGATCAGGAGTTCTATCTTGCTCGATCTCCACGATCATCTATTTCACATGTCACGCAGTGTGTGAGGCCTGCGGGTGTTTACCTTCTCCACGTGAGGCAACATCTTGACTGGTTCTATCGGTTCCACTTTCTCCCTGTCAGTCTTCGTGCACATTTCTCCAAGAATCCTGCCACAACATCATCCGTTCAATCGCGGAAGAACCTGTGCTGCTACCATTCGTTGCCGTCTAACATGTGAAGTAAAGCGGCGATGAGCTCTATCCTATCATTGATTGATTTGAAGAGCGTTTCGCAGCCTTCACACAAACCCATGTAAGTTGAATCCATAAATCCATCAAGCGCTACCTTCTTCTCCTGGCTTTGTGCTGAGGACTGTGATGCCACGGTCTCTATCAGCAGTTGACATGTTGATGTGTGAGATGCACTCTCTGATGAAATCAGCAATGTGAGCAAGAGCTCTGAGAGCATTGTGATGCAGCGGGAAAGAGACGGGAGACCAGAAGCAAGCAGCACTCACCGGCATGACGGGCACAACCATACTCCGTTCGAAGTCAGGGCGAAGCGTTCAGTGCTCTGAGCACAGGCCGCACAGAGGTAGTGCTTGCACCTGCCCCGGAAGGATCAGCCGTATGTCTTCATCCCTCGTTGCCTCTTCACCCGGTCACGACGGAGCTCTCACACTGGAGGTCTTCAAGGCAGATGCAGCACTCCCTACCTTCGCACGTATTCTCGGGCTCTTCGGTCGAGCCCCCAAACACGTTACGGGCAGGCCACATGGCTCGCACAATCTGAAGCTCGTAGAGACTCCTAGAGCTCGTAGACTCCGTTAAGGGCATGTTCGACGTGCGCTGGGGGTCGATGATAGACCGTTCGATGTTGATCGCAACGCTCCTCTCTTCAGCCTGCCTCCGGTTCGACGGGGCTCGCCCGATGCAAGCAAGGGTCCCTTCTCTGCCGGGGAAGCAAGACGCAGCATGGCACTCCTCACTCGCCGGTGATTCTGAGCTGAGCTCGCCGGTCAGCGGGACCTCAGCACGGCGTCCGTCAGAGGAATCCACCAGGAGGCGAACGTCCTGTGTGGATCTTGGCTGAGCGCGGTCAATGTCCGCCAGGTCCGATGTTTCATCTGCTGGTCGGGTCTCCTCGGGGTTCAGATTCACCTTCAAGAACGTCAATCTAGCTTCCTACCTCAAGGAAAACTCGCTCTCTCACCAGGTCACCGGGTGGGTCGGGCGAGCCTTCCAGTAAGGAAGGATCGTCTTGGGGCTCGCTTAAGTGATGCATCTGGGAGCGGCTTGCAGTCTGATCCTTATTGTGAGTCCACACGATTGTCCACTACTGCACACTGTGCCAACCAGCCTGAAGATGCTCGAATGAGTTTCTGCAGAGAAGGATCATGTCAAAGTCGACCGAGGAACAAACAGCTGTCCACAAAGAAAAGAAGGAAAACAGATGTTGATATCAAAGTATTGTAACTGAACAATGTCATGGGGTTGACAAGATATCCGAACTTCTTATCCATTTCTCTCCCTCAAGATTGTTTTACGTTCTGCTCCCTAAGTCTCCAGGCCCCACCTGTACAGCTCACTGCTCACAAAGGAGCGGCATCTCATTCAGGATGCAAAGACAACCAAGGTCATTTCAATCATCACAAGTGCCTAGATAAAGAGCTTTGTCAAATCCCGATGCCATACTCTCACGTGTGGTGCTTCCCTGTGCTAGGTCCGATCGAAACTTTCTGCATCCTCCAACTTTGCGGGAAAATTTTGCTCCCCTCACCTAGTCATGCACGAACATCTACAAACGAATGTGACATCTCGGCGTCGATATGCTGTTTCTTGATGTCTAGCACTGGATCCCAAAAACTGCCATTATGATAGTCGAACCTTTGCTTTCCCTCCATTTCTCTTCCCTTTCCTTCATGCCATTCTTCTACCTCCGGCTCCTTCAATCAATGACCCACTACCCCCACCCCCTCGATTGTGAGTGTGCCCTCACCAAGACAGGCAGTCGATGCCTCCACCCCTACCCCGATCTACTGAATTCCCCTCTAGACCTGAACTTTCACCACCCCTCAGGCTTTAATGCACCCCCCGTCACAGAAACTACCCCACCCCACATCAGAGATTCCTGACCCGGTCTATTCCCCGGGATATTTCAGTCCAGTCCTCCTCAATGCAGCAATTGATCACCCACCCACCCTACTGTATATTTCTTGCCCCCCGGGGGGGGGGTATTTTTGGTACCATGCTAGGGTGGGGGAGGATGCTGGATGAAAGAAAGGGTTCAAAGTACCCCCTTCGATGGCAGTACCCTACCTCCAGTGTTAACTTGACTTGAAGACTGAACGGCTCGGACCGGGTGCAAGTCTTTAGCAGTACCGTATACCACCGGTCCCTCCGACCAGCAGGGTACCGCTACTATCCGGCAGTCACTGATTGCATGTGCAGTGATGAGTAAAACTTTAGTACGTCAAACCATTTAATCTCAGTACTCCATGTTCAATCTTTGTGTCGATCGTTGTACCAGTTACTTTAAAATAGTGTTGCACAAGTACTGGGAGTATATCATCTTTTATAAAGCTAGAATCAGTTTTTGACCCGGAACTTCCGTCCACCGCCGGGTCCGAGAACTCAGTGCTGCTGGCGGTCGGTCTGAGTTGAAGCGGCGCCGGGCCCGGGCGGCCCAACTTGGCCCCGGCCCGCCCCGGCCGGGCGGGCCCGGCCGGACTCCCCGTACGGTCACGAGTCTCACGGACGGTTGTTGAATCCGGCTGCCACAGCCACCGCGCGGGAGGCTGGCCGCCGGGCGGGGCCGCCGGGCGGCGGGCCGGCCCGCCGCGCCGCCCGGCACACTGGCAGTGGGGTGAGAAGGCCCGGTGTTCAACTTCAAGTTAAGTGGCCAACCGTGACTGAGGTTTTCGTGTCTTTACGCCGCACTGCGCAGGCGGGCCCACGAGCATATCTATCTGATGGGGGGGGGGGGCGGTCTTGAAGGCGCTGAGGGGGTCCTACGATAGCGGTATTGTAACGGTGTAGTACCCCTGAACCCCAATTATGTACAGTCAAAATCACCGGTAGTCAATAGATCCAGTACCCCCAGTACCCCTTCGAATTCGTAGATGGGTCATCGGGTTCAGATGTTGAATGATCAGGATGTGGGCCAGGGTTGGAAAGGATTTCACAGAATCGAGAACCGTCATAAAATAACTTGGAAAATTGACAATAAATCTTTCAAATTTTGAAATATTAATATAAACATTCTTATGACATACGCAAACACTGATTATTCTCTGGGGTCTTCGGGAAAAGAATGCTGAAGAAGGGCGAGCATGCAGTAAATTCAGGCGGGTAGTTCAAGGGCACGAGGATCTATGGAGGGAGGGAGGGAGGAGAGCGAGCATGTGCATGAGCAAGGGCAGCAAGAACACAATCAAGCGAGGAAGGGAGTGCCCTGATGAGATGGGACATCATTTGTGTATCGCATGCCAAGGAAGGGGTGAACTTGGACGAAGCACCGTTTTTTTCAACACTGCCTGAACGAGAGTAGCGGGGAAAGCAGACTCGAAAAAGAATGAGATAAATGTAGGAGTAATGGTAGAATTTTCTGTGCAGCGGTCAGGATGTGTTGTGTGCCCCTGGATGCATCGCATGCGCTGTTCAGTGAGTCCGTGCTGTTACACAATGGCATTTCGGCATACACGTGTGCAATAATCCAAGCGAGTGATCATGCATGTACATGTTGTACTTTGCAAGATTACTTTTGTGATTGACAAAATCACATTTCTCACTTCGACTGATTCATCTCTTTGAGCGCAGGAGGTCGTTGTTGCCCCGCTGGTTGAGTCGACGCTTGAGTGTTGAGTGGTCCCGGTCGATGATCTGTGAGCGAGACTGATCATCAGGAGTTCTTGAGTGTTGCAAATGTCAATCTTTCTCCGCAAGCTTGCAAGCAACAACAAGTCGCCCAACTTCCAGAGCTCTCAGGGAGTAATCGGGAGGCACGTTCGCCTCGAGGAGCATGGGAACACGGTCTTCTGCTGTGCCTTCTCCGGCGAGTCGGAGACGCACGACATCGAGCTTGCAACTGCCGCATATGATGGGACGACGAGGATCTGGGATGTTGCAAAATGCACTCAAAACACGAGCAAGAAGAGCAAGTCTGTCCACCACTTGCTCGCTCCCCGCACAATGACTCTCTGTTTCCCGCAGGAAGATATTGAAGGGAAACTCAGGAGGGGTCTGGTGTTGCGTGTACTCCTCTAGCTCCCACGTTCTGGTGTCTGGGTGCTCCAAAGGCACTCTGTGTGCCTACTCGAGAGGCAAGTATCAGATCCTTGGCCGTCAGGACCTTGCTCACGGGCCCAACGCTGTGTTCTCCGCTTCCATGGTGAGACGTCCTGTCGCTACGCAGGCTGCTCGTCTTAGTGTGGTGCAGCACGACCGGAGCGATGTGCTGGCGACCGGCGGAGGAGACAAGCGCCTGAAGCTGTGGAGAGTCGACGATGCTGATGTGAGAGCGCAGTTAAGACTCGTCGTTGTTGCCGTTGATGCTGCTCCCTAGAGCGCTACCCCGGGTATCTCAGCCTTGTCGACGCTGACTGGTCACTCGGGCGATGTTGTGTCATGCTGCTTCAAGCCCAACACAGTACTGCACGCGCGTGAGGGGAGGACGTCGTTGACTGTCGTGCAGGATCTGTTGGTGTCGGGGAGTGAGGACCGACATATCCGAGTCTGGGACATCAACAGCAACGAATGTCTGCAGACGCTGATCGGACACACGGCAGAAGTCTGTGCGTGCAGCTACGACCGAGACGGGTCGATGCTGGCGACTGCCAGCAGCGACAAGACGGTCGGGAGGAGGGAGTGGTGAGGCATGCTAGCTGACAGCAGCATCAGGTGAGAATCTGGGACTCAAGGCAGAAGAATCGTTGCATCCAGACTATCAGTGGGCACAAGGCGTCAGTCTACTCCTGCACCTTCCGAAAGTGTTCTTTCGACCTGCTTGCTTCGGCTTCTCAGGTGAATCCTCCGGTTCTCACGTCCTTGGTGTGAACGGCGGGCAGGACGGCAGCGTCGCCATTTGGGATCCAAGGAACTGGAAATGCTGCCAGGTGCAAGGGAGGAGGAGCTGTCAATAAATCTCACTGTTCGCTTGCAGGTTATCCGCCAGCACCAGGGAGAGGTGGTTGGCCTGGCTTTCCATCCCCACGGTACCATGCTGGCGACCGGGTCGGCCGACATGGCGGTCAACTTGTACTTCGTGAGGAACGAGGGCCCTCAGGTGAGGAGTTCCTGGAATGAGGAGAGGGGAGATGATGAGGCCGATGGCAGGAGGCGGACTATGTCGACTTTGCTGGAGACTGGGAGAAGGAAGAGCCTACTTCGCCCATCAATGGCTCGAGCCCGCAGGTTGCGGCTCCTTACAGTCGTCCTCTTTATCCTCACCCGCGCCGCAGGTCCCCGGCTCCTCCTCCCTTAGACCCGCAAGCGGCCCCATGGTGCGAGCACGCATGCGAGTATGCGCAGTTGTGGCTGACGGGTTTGAAGGTGATGGAGGTGGCGACCGAGTTCTCCCCGAGCATACGGCCAGTCGACGATGAGCTGGATCCGATCTCGTCCTTCAACGGCAGGGCTCAGCTGGGGAAGCAAGCCAGTGTCGTCCGGCAGATGGAGGCTGAGAACGTCCGGCACTTCCTTGTGACGCGGCTCAGTGTCGCTGACACTCCCGAGCAGGCTGAAGATGCTCGTCTGGACCTCGTCAGCCCCGACGTCAGGAAGGAGCTCGAGGACGAGCTTGCCCTCCAGCAGATCATCCTGGAGCAGGCCATGGAGAGGAAGCACAGGGACGGCTGGAAAGTTCGGGTGAGCTTTTCCCATCGTTGGCTGCCCCGGATGACGGCAGGAGCGCAGGACGCGGACCCTGAGGACGTGGAGGAGCTGAGAGTTCTTTTGAAGAAGTTCTACGTGGAAGGTGATGAACCCTGTGCGTCTTGACCTGCTTGCTGAGCGTCATGGGCAGTCAACCCCACGAAGCTTTCGAGAATCGAGGCTATCGTGCAAGACTATGCTGATAGAGGCGGAGGGCCCACGGTCAGCTTGACAGCAGTAGACGGGAAGGTGGTGGTGACCTGGCTTGCAGGAGAGAGAAGCGCTCAACATGGACTTGCGCGCTGTACTTGCTGGTTTAGAGAGTTGGTGAGCAGACTGACGGGCTGACAGGTTTATGGTGTTGACTTGTCAAGCGTCGCCTCAAAGTGAAGCGCTGGGAGGCTGAACATAACGCTGCGACCACTATGCTAACGGTAGATATCTACTCGAATTCTTCTTAAATGTACAAAGCAGAATAAATCGAAAACTATCATTGTCGTTGTTTTTATTTCACGATAATACATCCACACCAAACCAGATCCTTTCAATACTGCCAAAAGTCCTCAGCATCTCGAGATCTCCTCTTCAATAAGTCTTGTCATCAGCTGCTAACTCTTGAGACTTCCGTGACCTGGTCCAACCCGAGCGAGCTCATTGTTTCGGCGCCTGCTCCTTCCTCATGTAGTAGATGACGACGCCTGTGCCGACCAACAGGAAGAAGATGACGAGGAGGTGAACTTCCTGCAGTTCAAGGCTGTGAGAACATAAGATGCAACAGGCTCGTCTGACCTTGTCCGTATGTCCTGCAATGTAGTGCGAGTTGCTGCTATTCGGCTTGTCTTGGATGGCCTGCAGGTGCTCATCAACGAGGTGGGAGGGGACAAGCACAGGCTTCACCTCCTCGACGGACTTGGAGATCTCCTTGCCTTTCCCTCCCTTGATGTCTTTGGGGAGGATGTCACTGGCAATCGAAGAGCTCCCTCCTGCACGAGGGTTACATCAGACCACGAGCTGCCCAGATGTGTAAAATCTCACCTGCAGACGCTGAGGGAGAGGAGGGAGCCTGAGCAGGCTGAGGGGCTGGGGGAGCTTGCTCGGTCGCAGAGGCTGAAAGAAGAGTCAGCAGCAGCTCGAGTTTCCTTACTCTGCCTGACTAACCTGCTGCTTGGAGGGACTGCTTTGACCTGGAAGGCATCGGCGCCTGCATGCTTGCTACCTGCGACTGCACCGCAAGCTGCTTGCTCTGCGTGGGAGCCACGGAGTTCTGCTGCATCTGTGAGTCGGATGCCTGCTGAGCCTGTTGGGCAGCAGCGTGCGGGGCGAATTGAGGCATCCCACTAAGGTCCTGGTAGTGGGGAGCTTTTTGCTCAGCCTTGACCGTCTGATCTCCAGCCAAGAAAGCTGCCGAGGGGAGAACGTTAGAACAAGCAGATCCCAACCCTCCACACAACTCACAGATCACAAGGGCCCCTGCGATGATGCCCAGGAAGACAGTGCCAGCGTTCCAGTTGCTCTTGGATGGGCTCTTTGAAGGATTTCTATTCACATAGGATGTAGGCGCCACTGCACCATACAAGGCCATCCTCCCAGTACAACTGTTGACAAGAAGAGATGAGAAACCTGAATTTCGATTCACAACTTGGGTTTTTTGATGTCTAATTGAGACAAGGACCGCAATCATGATTTTGACAATTCCTCGAAATTGAATGCAATCTCTGTCACCTACTGATTTCAAGCTTGTATGGAATCTGACGCACTTCCTTTGTTTCTATGGAACTACGTATTTTGAATGGCACTGATCTGTTTTCCGCATGCTTTTCAATCGAACATGGGGATGAAAATTCTCAATAGATCGTCAAACAACCAACCCTCTCGTTCAGGATCACATGACCGTCCTTTTTTCAATCTGAATCTCTAATCTCGAATACCTATCTGCAGCTCTCGACAGGGATCCCATGTCTTTTTGTCATAATATGGCGCATCACCGAGCGCACTTGTATCTAACATCATCTCATCATCTCATCATCTCATCATCTCATCATCTCATCATCTCATAATCTCTTCTCGCATGTTTCTTTCGCATTCTCTTCCCTCCATCGCTTCTCATTCACACATGTAGAGCATCTCCTGCTGCTAGACTGTGACTCCCAAAATAGCTCGACCTACCCTACCCTCCCTCAAGTACCCTACCTCTCTTCAACACCCACCGTCTTTACTACCCCAACCATCCAGTATCCCCAGATTTGTTATTAAAAGAAGGGGTTCAAGAGGCCATTGCATCCAGCCTGATATACTGATCGTTCTGCTACCTACCCCTTGTAGAAAGACCCCCGTTCATAGGGTCTATCAGCGGGGTGGTCTGACGGCAGGGCCTCCTAGTCCCGGACTCCCCGATACCGGGCTGCCCATCCCCGGGCCCGGGGAGTCCGATCATCATGATGATCAACCCGGCCCGGCGTGCCTTCCGCAGTTGTGTCCGCACTGCCAGGCTGCCAGTCACTGAGTGACTCCCGTCACGGGTGTCACCCTCGCGGCCTCCACCGCCTTTCCGCCGGACAGTTCTGCGGCCCGGGATTAGGCTTACTAAGTTACTGTTCATCCCCGCGACACTGTGACAACCGTGACTGATCGGACCGGACGAGTCCGAGTCCCGGAGCCAGGCTGAGTCCGAGTACTGCAGCACACAGGCTGGCAGTGACGCCGGCCGCCGGAAGTTCGGGCGAGCCTCGGAGTTCCGAACTCGGAACTGAAGTTCAACTTCCGAGTCAGCGGCGTTGGCCGCCCCGGCGTCACAGTGCACTGGCAGCCCGGCCTGGGACAGTCAGAGACAGCCGTGAGAGCCCCGTCACGAGTCCAAGGGCTCTCAGTCAAAGTACCGTACGGTTCAGTGCTCAGCGGCCCCCGCACCCCGGCCCGTTCATGGACTCAGTGACGGGTCAGCCCGGCGGAGTCAGAACTCCATTTGATGTATTTGATTACTGAACTTAAATGAACTACCCGGTGCTGAAGGCTGGTTGAAAGTCAAACCTCCGAGTCGTCGCCAAGAAAGCGAGCGACGTCCTTCTTCTTTCTCAGCACCTCAATCGGCGCTGACATCGCGAGCCGCATGTTCTTCTCCTCCTCTGCAGACGCCAGGGGCAGCAGAAGTGACAGGCAGAGCCGCAGACCCTCGTCCTCTTCCATCCCCCCGAGGTCACAAAGCATCAGCTTTGCCTCCACTACCTCCAGCGCCGTCATCCCTGCCCTGTACTCCATGCGCCCCTGCCTCGTCCTGGCCTGCAGCACCTCCAGCAGCTGCTCCTTCTTGCACTTGTTGATCAGGTACTGCAAGACCCTGTGCTGCCCTCCTTCGCACGCGTGATGCACGCACGTCCAGCCCTTGTCGTCCTCCTCCACCGCCATCCTCACTCCATCCAGCCTCCATAGCTTCCTCAGCAAATCCAGGTGCCCATGCAGCGCAGCTACATGCAGGCAGTTCTTCCCGTCCAGGGACCGCTGCAGCAGCAGCTTCTTCCCCCCCTCCTCTACCAGCAGCTCCACTATCTCCGTGTGTCCACCCCGGCTCGCACACAGAACAGGCGTCATGCCCTCTGAGCTGACGGCAAGCAGACTAGCCCTGTGGTACAGCAGCAGCTCGACACAGTCGAGCTTGCCCTGGAGGCAGGAGGAGTGCAGAGGTGTCTCCCCGTGCCTGTTTCCCAGCTCGACATCTGCCCGATGTTCCAGCAGCATCTTACAGATCTCCGCGTACCCTCCTGTTGCTGCCGAGTTCAGCGCCGTGTACCCCTGTCTGTTCCTCACGTCCAGCTGGCTTCCTGCTCGCAGCAGCAGCCCGACGTGCTCGCTGTTGCCCTGCGAGGCGGCTCGGATCAGCGCCGTCTCCTCGTCGATCCCGCTGATCCTGTCGATTCCGTCGGCGTCTGCTATGAGACCTTCCCGCTGTGCCAGCACCAGCGCCGATCGCCTCCGCGCTGCCTCGATGTTGGCTAGCTTGTCCAGGCAAGGAGACTTGACTGGCATCTTCAGCAGCCTGTCGTCCTCGTCCTCGTCCTCGTCCTCGTCCTCGTCCTCGTCCTTCTCTCCTGCTCTCTCCTCCTGATCCTCCTCCTCCTCCTCCTCCTCCAACCTCACGAGCGGAGCCGACGATTTCTCCCTCCTCCCCTTCCCATGACCTCCCTCGCCTCTGTTCTCTTGCATTCTGCCGCTGATCCACGCACTCTCCCACGCGTCGAACGCTGCGAACAGCGTCTTCCTCCTCCACCTGCTCATGCTTCGCTGCGCGCTCCTGTGCAGCATTTCCATCTTCGCTGTCTTGCTCTCCTCCTGTCGCAGCTTCCCCTTGACCAGCCGGTGCACCTGGAGAGAGCGCATTAGAGGAGGAGAAGAGAAAGAAACAAACTTGCAGACGAGCAGAGCAGCGACAGACAGGGGAAACAACAACAACAACGACAACGACGATGACAACGACAACAATGACAACGACAACAACAGAAGCAGCAGCAGCCGCAGCAGCAGCAGCAACAACAAGGAGCTCAGCGTGAGGAATTGAAGTAAGAGGAAAACGGTCAAAATTCAGACAGCGCTGGAGCATGGAGATCAGTTGTTCTACCTGAGTGAGCGAAAGGTCGTGAATCCTGTGAAGTCCTGCGCTCTTCCAGTACCTCATCACATCCTTGGAACCTTCCCGCACGTCCCGCAGCTCCTCCAGCGCGAGCGAGTAGTTCGCCTCCTCGTTGTACCACTGGGCCCCCCGGGCCTGGCAGGTGGCGACAAAGTTGCGGCACTCTTGCATGATGTGGCGCGAGATTTCAGCGAAGTTGAGGCGGCTCCTGCTCCCTCCCTCCTTCCCTCGCAGGTTCTTTTCCACCGCCAGGTCTCGATGAATCTCATGCAGCGTGTTGACGGCTGCGGCGACGTGAAGTTGCTTCCTCCTCCCCTCGAGATCCTCCCTGACGTTCACACCCCGTCACCGCCTCGAGATGGTGACCGGGGTGGAAAAAGGGGTAGGAGAGGAAGACGAGAGAAGGAGGAGAAGATAGCATGGGAAGGAGGAAGAAGAATGAGTGAAGAGGAGGAGGAAGGAGAAAGTTGAGAAGGGAGGAAGGAGATAATGGAGAAGAGGGAGGAAGCAAAACTTTTCGTCCCTCACCTTGTGAGGCACTTCAAGTTCACGTTGAGCCGGATGGAGAGGATAAGGACGAGCTTCCTGCCAACCTTCTCCAGCCGCGGGCTGCCGATGATCTCCAGGTTAGACAGAGGCGGGAACAGGATCTCATTCTCCTTAGGATACTGCGACAGCCACGAAAGCGAGGCTCCTCGGTCGACCTGCCCGACGTCGATCTCAAAGATGCATGGGAACTCTCCGTTAGCCGCGTACTGCAAGGCAACCTCCCTCTTCTCAGACGTCGACATGAAGGAAGGCTCTACCACCCCCTTGCAGCCAAACACGTCCTCGTCCTGAAAGCTCCGGGGTAGCTTCATCCCCTTCAGCCCCCGGTACACCTTCCTGGACCTCGGCACCCGCAGGATGTTGGAAAGCTTCATGATCCCCGACGTGATCATGTGGATGGTGTTGACGTAGTGGTCCTCCCGCTCCAGGTGCTCCCTCGCACTCATCACTGTCCTCCTCAGCGTCTCGTTGTACAGCACGTACATAGGCCCTGCTCACGGTCGTCAGGACGGCAGCAGCAGAGCAACTGGAGCATGCCTGTGTACAGCCGCAGGGCGATCACTTCCTCCTTGGTCAGCTTCGCCCTCTTGTACTCCTCCTGCTCCAAGAAGTGCGAGAGGGGCACACGGCTCCTCCCTCCCTCTCGCTCTCCAGGGTATGTCTTGCTCGGCTCAGGGTCGACGACGAACTCCCACTCCTCGCAAGGACAAGTCTCCTGCTCAACCCCTTGGTGAGCGCAGCAGAATCACTCCCTCCCTCCCTCCTGCTCTCTCAGATCCCCATCAAGATCTTTATGTAGCTGCTTGCTTCCTAGTCCTTGGCGCTCTTGCTCTCCTCCTGCCCCCATGGCTCCCTCCAACTCCCCTACTCTACAATAATGTTTGCTGCTGCTGCTGCTGCTGCTGCTGCTGCTGCTGCTGCTGCTGCTGCTGCTGCTGCTGCTGCTGCTGCTGCTGCTGCTGCTGCTGCTGCACCATACCGTATCGTAGTTGGTGGCCTCGAAGACCTCCCTGCTTGCGTGCTCCTCTTTCATCGCCTCATAGATCGAGAAGGACGGCAGGCCGATCATGCCTTCCAGTCCTTGCTTGAACAGCTCCAGTCCCCCAAAGTTGCCCACCACCACCTACCATCTCATTCAAATTCGATTTCCTCTCCTCTTCTCGTTTCCTCGTGAGCTCTCCCACCTTACCGTCCCATCCTTGCCCTCCTCCCAGCCCATTCCCTCCTCACTTCCTCTTTGCCTCCTCCATCTGACCTGTCAACTCCTGCGTTCTTCCCTCACCCCTTTCCCACCTCCTCACCTTGGCAAATTTGTCGTTGCCAGAATGGACCTCGGGCTCGTCGGCCCCGCGCAGCACCGCCCTCTCAGCGCGGATCCCATCATGCAGGCAGCCAGCAATCTCCTCCTCCAGTCCCCTCAGGCTCTCCGTCACCTCTTGGAGATCCATCGAGCTCAGTCTCATCCACAGATCGTCCCCCATGTCCTTGTTTACAAGGTCCCTCCTCCATGTTCGCTCCAACAGCCTTCCGGCAATCTTCTTTGCTACCTCCTTCTCCCTGAACACCTTCTCTATCCACAGCTCAAACGAGATCCTTGACTCGTCCAGCACAATCTTCTGCTCGTGTCAGAAAACGTCAGAGCTTCGAACGAGCTACAACAAGTCAGGGAACAACATCCCCTTCAACCCCCCGACAAGATGTGAAAAGATTTCATCACCTTCAGCTCCATCCCATACAGCGTGAGTAGACACTCCAAGTCTGAGCTCTGCTCTTCTCCAGCTGCCCCTGCCCCTGCCCCTGCCCCTGCCCCTGCCCCTGCCCCTTCCCCTGCCCCTGCTCCCGCTTCTCCTCCTGCTTCTCCAGTCAGCCCTGCTCCTTGCGTTTCATGATTCTCATTGTCATGGGGCGTCGCTATAGCAAGACATCGTCAGGCATCCTCTAGCTCAGGTCAACATCACACCTGCTATGTTATCATCATCTCGCGCCTCCCCATCGCTTTCTTCCCTCCCTGTACGGCGGGCATCGTTGATAGGAGATGACGAGGCTAGGTTCCAGTCCTTCAGCAGCAGCCCATGGGCAGCTCCTCTCCCCCCCCCTCCTCCTCCATCCTCCTTGGCTCGTGCAAAGTTGTTTCCTTTCCCTGAACCGAACTTGCTCCACGCGGACAGGACGGCCTCTCGAGCCGACCAAGTCACCCCCTCGTTGAAACCTTTCGGTCGAAAGATGTCGGCCATGCTTCCCGGACTCCTCAGCTTACTCAGGATCGCTGTGCCTTCGCCTTCGGGCCTGTGAGGTTGCATCTCCTCCGAACTCAGCGACGAGGGGTTCGATGAAGACAAGGATGACGCCGAGGTCTTTCTGGAACCAACGGGGTCCCTCTGCAGTCGTTCGTACATGACGTGTGCTTGCTGCAGCACCTGGTCGAATTCCTTAGCTGTCAACCTGCTTCTTCTTCTCTTTTTCTCCTCAGCTTCTTCCTGTCTCCTCGGCTCTGCCTTGCAATTCATTAGCTCGATCTGCAGCTTCGCTATCTCAAGATCGAGCCTCGTTGCTCCTGCGCTCATCCCTGCCCCTCCCGTCGGAAGATTGCCCATCAGCTCCCGGATGTTTCCCACGAGAGCAATCGGATCCATCCTGACGTTCCGTGCGATGCAACTTGATAGAAAGCTGCGCACACAGACGTCTTGATACAGAAAAGTCCCGTCGATGAGAGGAGGAGGAGGGGCAGGATGAAATTAATCCGAGGCGGCAGGTGCACAGGAAGCCGCGGGCGCTACAGGGCGAAGCTGCTGCGTCACAAAGACTCCAATCAATCGATCATGTCACCATGCTCTTTGACCGAGCAGGCGAAGTCCTGAGAAACTTCTCAGCACAGAGGAAAGAAGAGGATGAATGGGAGAAAGCACTAAAACAAACAGCAACAGAGAGCCGGCTATCAGACCCATAAGGTCTATCATTCCCTCCTCTCCCCACTTCCTCCTCTCCCATCCCTCTACTCATCGCTCTTGCTAAGGTTTCCCCTCTCCTTTCTTCTCCCCGCCATATCCACCCGATCCTATCCCTGCCTCGCCACTGCCCCCCTCCTGCTCTCCCATTGCTGCCTTCCTGCCATTGTGTACCCATGACACCCAATTTACTGGCGAAAAAAAAAAAAAGATATCATTTAAAATTCAATTTACTGGCCGAAAAAAAGATATCATTTAAAATTATAAAGATACTTTAACTCAACTTTGAGTCTCAGTACTAAATGGCGCCCGGACAGCGACCGGTCCGGCTGTGCCTGTAAATTGGCGGGTTTGAAAGATCAGTGAGCCCTGCATGCGTCAGCCTTCACGAAAACAGAGCTTTTCGTGTGCAAGTAGGCTATCATGTAACGGATATTTGGACCCCTACCTCCCCTTTGGGGGCCATAGTCTTATCTCCGCACTGGGGTCATCGAGTCGTACTACGACCCTCGACCCTATGACCCCACCCTACTTTCAGAGGATGTCCTTATTCTGTTTCCTCAGGGTATGATATTCTTTGATTGCCGTCAAGATAAAGATTCATCATATCTAGACTTTGGCATGCTTACATCACCCCCACCCCTCCCTTGCAACAAAAGGAAGCCTCGAGTTTTTACGGGACTCCGTGCTTGATTTGCCCCCTCCCCCCGCGCCACCACCTCCTCTTCCTTTCCTCTGCCACTTGAAACTGCTCTACTGCCCCCATCTTTGACGTGCTTCACGTTTTGTATCTCCTTGTGCTCCTTCCACGTATTCTATCCTTTTATAGGGATTTCAACAGCACCTCCTCCACCCCACCAGTCCCCGGTTCTCCGTGGTTTCCTGAGGTTGTGCCTTCACGCTAGCAACCGGACTTTCACCTCCTCATTCGACAGTCAAGAGACTCATCTGTCTATTTGCTACCAGACAACTCCTTGTGTTTGATAGTTCTTTATGGATACGCCTACTGTTACAGACGATATACTCTTTCTTGCGAACCTCAAGCCAAAGCGCCTCTTTCTTCCCCAAGCCAAAAGGATACAAAAATTCGCTCACACACAGCAGATCCCCAAGACTGCACGAGCGAAGTCTTTCATCCCCTCTACTTTTCCAAATGGCCGTCTCGATAGGTCAGCTTCAGCCGTCAGTCCATCTTCACCTGGCTGCCCTCATGACCACAAGTCGTTCTCGCCCTTCCACCTTCAACAAGAACCCCTTTCTCCTGTTCAGCAGTCGAGGAAGAAGGTGCTAATGAGGACCAACTCAGAGCGAGTGATTCATCCGGGAGACTTCGTCTTTCACTCTTCACCCATGCACTTCCTCGAGTCTCTGAACCTCCACAGGTATTCCAATGCCAACGACACGATTAAGTACTTCGGATGATTGCAAGCTGAGCATGATGCAAGATGTGTGACCGTACTTTGTGACTTGTCACAACGTTTATGACTCAATAAAATTATGTCTGTCATGTACGCTCGCCGCTTCGAGGCTGCTGACAGCCTGAGTTGGTTGGTAAGTCGAAATCAGTCCTGAGCCTCAGCATCCATCACGCGGCCACTCACCTTGAGAAGGGCTCGACGACCGCGGGGATCGGACAGGGGACGGTGACATGTCACTGATTGTCCTCGTACTGATTTTTAACTTAACTTTGAGTAAAAAGTCACTGACGGTCACGGTGCACAACGGCAGTGCCACGGTGGCGACTCAAGTTGCG